CCTCCGCCGTCAGGCCGAGGCAATTTTCAAATGCCTCGCCACCGCGGATAAGCGGTGCAGCCTGGGCGCCGTGTGGCACCGCCTGTATGCGGTGTGGGTCCGATGATGTCAGATCCTTATCCCGCCCGCGTTCCGGGTGCGATAAGGATAGGGCGGAGGGCGGCACTTCCCGCTGGGAGGTTCGTGGTCGTTCGTTGTCGTCCTTCGTGTCTCGTCTCGTCGTCGTATCCGTCGCCCTTTTCCTCTTCGGGAGTTGCGGCACGGCCCTGGATTAGGTTCCAGGGTGGACGTTGTTTGCGCTCCTGGGCCGGAGAGTGGCCCCCTCCCCCTCCCCCTCCCTGCTGCCGCTGCTGTTGCCGTTGCAGCTGTCAGGCCAGGGTTTTTAGTACCCTGCCACCTCGGCCAAGAGGTGCGGCCTGGGCGCGGGAAGACCCCAGTGGCACCTCCTGGTCTGAGGTGTACCGCCGTTTGACGACCACGGAGGCGGGGCCCGCGGCTTTTCCGCCTGTAACCTCTTGGTTGCAGTGCTCTTTGCCGCGGGCACACTGTTGCCGTGCTTGTGAGGGTGCGGGCGCTGGGCAACGCTCCGTGTATTGTCCCTTGGGCGCCGATCCCGAACCCCCGTGCGCCATTTTGGCGAGGGGTGTAGGGCGGTCCTTGGTTTGCTTTCTTTTCCTTGATTTCCTCCCTAAGGCACAGCGTTTCTGGCGCTATTGGGAGTTAGTCAAGGAAAGGAGGCCGGAGGTCAGGTCCCAGCTTGTGTCCGTGATTCCCTCTTTTTGCGCGTGTGCCCTTGGTTTTGGCCGTTGGCCACGTTGGCCGTTGGCCAGGGCACGTTGGCCCGCGCTTTGCTGAGCGCCACGGTTTTGTTCTGCCTTTTGGGCCTGCAACAATCACTGGCCCCTCCCCACCCCTCCATTTCGAGAGTGCACGCCTCTCCCTGGGACGACGGTGCCGGGCTGCTGTCAGACGCCCACAGGGCCCCGCAGCTCCCTCCCAAAGATGCCACCTCGCTGAGAGGACCTCCATCTATCCATCCTCTCCTCCTCTCTCCTCTCTCCTTCCTCCTCCTCTTCCTCCTCCTCCTCTTTCTCCTCCTCCTCTTCTTCCTTCTCCTCCTCCTCCTCCTCCTCCTCCTCCTCCTCCTGCTCATCGCCACCCTTCCATCGCCATGTTGGCTCTTGATGTACTCCTGGGGTGGCTGTTCGGCCACCAGGCAGAGTGGATTGCCCTGTTCCGAGCATGGCGATCGATTCGATTGGTGGGCGGCTTGGCGACGCTTGAGGCTGGGACGGTCCGCTGGCGCCGCGCGTGATGGCACAACCGAAACCTTGTGTGGCGCCTGCCTGCTGCAGAGCAGAGGGTGGGCGGGCGTTTACAGTCCATCTGTTATGCTACATAAGATAGCGTAACAACTCCCGCCCCTCCTCCCCTGTGCGGGGGGGGGCGGGACACTTGCTTCCAGATTGACCATGTCGTGGGGTAAACTAACTTACCCGTCCCTCCTTGCTGGCTACGCCAAGTGGGCTGCCCGGTCTACAGTGCCGACGGCCTGGCGCCGCAAGGTGAGAATCCTCCGCATCGCGGCGCGTGGGCTCACGGTCCTGGTGGCGGTGGCCGTCTTCCTCGTGGCGGTTCACGATAAGCGCTGGTGGTTCCGCTGGTCGCCCCAAGCTGCCGCGGCTCGGAGACGGTGCAGGTGGACGCGGCGCTGACCGCGACTGCCGCCCCAGGCCGCCAACCGCCCAGGCCTCCGAGGCAGCGCGCGAGACGTGCAGGGCCGTTGTCGGACTTTCACTCCGCGGAGCTGCAGGTGACCGCTCGCGCTGTCGGACAGGCAGTCGCAGACTTCCCCAACATCGGCTGTTGAAGCGTCCACCCTCGCCGTCTTCGACGCGGTCTGCTTTCGGGGGGCGCAGTGCGACGACGACGCTTCCGCTGCGCAGGGCCGCTTCGCCGAGGCCGTGCAGTGCTTCTTCGGCCAGGCTAGGAAGTTTGGGCCGACATCTGCTGAGTCGGCGATGACACGGCCAAATACCAACGCCGTGGGCACGTCGTCCAACTTCGTTGGATCCGTCGGCTTCCCGTGAGTGCCGCTCGCTGGCCTCGTGCTCTTCCGACCTGCGACTGCCATCAGGTGGCGAACGTCAGCACAACGGGCTACGACAGCCCACTGCTCCACGAGGGCCGCGCAACCTGCTTGGGGAAGCGCCGAAGCTCTGAATGGAGGTGCCTGCTGGGGACACGGTCTCGCCTTATGTTGTTCACATCGTACTTAGGGACCACATCCTGGAAATAGTTTCGAGCACCCGGAAAGGTGTCGAAACAGTGTCGGACGAGTGTCTCCCAGGGTCTGATACGTGGAAACCCTCGAGTTTGGGGGTACTTTTCTGGTGCTCGAATTTCTTTTTGGTGATCAAGGCTAAAGTAGGTTGGAGCATCATAAGTCTATCCCTGCCCCGGTGGTATCTCAGTTGCGAGTCGTTGGTGGTTGGTCCTCAGCAGTCTGCGCCTGGATCGGGCCGACGCCGACCAGCTGGCTGGGCTGGGCCAGAGCTGCCACGATGACGCCGTCCAAGCTCGCGGACCGCGACGTGGCCGTGCGCAAGACTCGGTTCAAAAAATAGGTCGAACATGCACCGATGAGCAAACGACACCACCCCACCTACGACCCGCGGTGATGAATTTTCGCTTTACAGGTCAATCGTTTCGGACCCGAATCCTGAAACACGACGGCACGCCAACGACCGCGCTCGACAACCGTAATTCTTCATGACTTCGACGTAACGCCGAGGGCCACTTCGCTACCAACGTAGTTAGGCGGCCGTCAGTACACTCAATGCGCCACTCGTCTGGGCGGTGTCGCCGACCGGTATTTAGGGTGCCGCCTCGCCAGAACGCACGGGCGTCTCAGCACGCGCGGCACATGGTGACTTTGCTCGGCGCTGCGATCGTAGCTTGCTCAACCTGGCTTGGAGCGAGCCTTTAATTCGTCGCGCGCGTAGTGGGCCCCGGAAACGGCAGGGCCGTTTTTTCACCGTTTCCGAAAAAACGTCCCGTGAAAATGGGAACGGCAACTAAAGGCGACCGGAAACGGCAACGAAAACGGCTCCAGGATTGGAGCCGGAGCGGGAACCCGTAAAAGAACGGTGACGACACCGGGGAAAAAACGGCGTCGGAACCGGCAACACACACACACACACACCACACACACCACACACACACACACACCACACACACAAACCGCACACACACACACCACACACGCACACCCAGATGGGATGGGTCCCAGGGTCCTCGGGCCCCTCCCCCCCAGATGGGATGGGGGGGGAGGAGGAGGAGGAGGAGGAGGAGGAGGAGGAGGAGGAGGAGGAGGAGGAGGAGGAGGAGGAGGAGGAACCGGTAAAAAAACGGCCCTGCCGTTTCTGGGGCCCACGGAGGCCATGAAGTGTTTGCCGAGCTCGGGCCGGGCAGGGCGGCGGCGCGGCTCGCGGCTACTGTGGTGCAGCCCCGTGCCCCGGCCTTCTCGGGTCGGGCGAAAGGGGGGGATAGCAAAGGGGGGGTTTGAGAATCAGCTCACGTAGCTGATTTTCCTGGCGCCTCCCGGCGCCGGGAGGCGGCCATGTATCGAGGAATGGGCCCCTCGGTGAGGCCGAAACCAGCTGCATGCAGCAAATTTCGTAACCCCCCCTTTCCCAATCCCCCCCTTTCGCCCGACCCGACTGTCGCTTCAGCGTCGGCCCAGGCTTACGTCGGGCCTGTCCCCCTACAGGGGGATTTTCGACGAAACACAAAACATGCGCCAAAAATAATAAAGAAGATAGTCCAAACATAGTCTGGGGACTATGCTTTTTTTTGTTTGTTTTGTTCTTTTGTATATTATCATTTTTTGTTCCCCATATCCTAAGATGGGGTTCTTGTTATTACTTGGACGCCTCCTACTCCTTCTTCTTCTCCTCCTCCCCTCTTCTCGTCTCCTCCTACTTAGACTCACTCATACTCAGATTCACTCATACACAGACTTACTCATACACAGACTTACTCATACACAGACTCACTCATACTCAGACCTGATCACATTAACTTACTCATACTCAGACCTACTCATACCCAGACCTACTCATACTCAGACTTACTCATACTCAGACTTCCTCCTTCTCCTCCTCCTTTTACTCAGAGTTCCTCATACACAGACTTACTCATACTCAGAATTACTCATACTCAGACCTTCTCATTGTCTGACTTATTCGATAAACAGCAGATTGCGAGGATGTCTCAGGCGGGGCGCTGGTTTCAGCACCCCTAAGGGGAGCCGCCGAGGGGTGTTGCACGGTCCCGTTCGCGGCCGTTTTGTGGGGATGTCTCAGGCGGTTTGCCTGTTTGTCTTGCCAACATCCTTCGCTTTCGGAGCAGATTTGGAGGATGTCTCGAGCGAGGCGCTCATTTTCACCCCCCAGGTGGGCCAGATTTTGAGGATGTCTCGATCGGTTTGCTTGTTTTGGTGGCCAGGCTCGTGGCCCTAAGGGGAGCCGCCGAGGGGTGTTGCACGGTCCCGTTCGCGGCCGTTTTGTGGGGATGTCTCAGGCGGTTTGCCTGTTTGTCTTGCCAACATCCTTCGCTTTCGGAGCAGATTTGGAGGATGTCTCGAGCGAGGCGCTCATTTTCACCCCCCAGGTGGGCCAGATTTTGAGGATGTCTCGATCGGTTTGCTTGTTTTGGTGGCCAGGCTCGTGGCCCTAAGGGGAGCCGCCAGGGGTGTTGCACGGGCCGTTCGCGGCCATTTTGTGGGGATGTCTCAGGCGGTTTGCCTGTTTGTCTTGCCAACATCCTTCGCTTTCGGAGCAGATTTGGAGGATGTCTCGAGCGAGGCGCTCATTTTCACCCCCCAGGTGGGCCAGATTTTGAGGATGTCTCGATCGGTTTGCTTGTTTTGGTGGCCAGGCTCGTGGCCCTAAGGGGAGCCGCCAGGGGTGGTTGCACGGGCTCGTTCGCGGCCATTTTGTGGGGATGTCTCAGGCGGTTTGCTTGTTTCTGTGCCCAACATCCTTCGCTTTCGGAGCAGATTTGGAGGATGTCTCGAGCGAGGCGCTCATTTTCACCCCCCAGGTGGGCCAGACTTTGAGGATGTCTCGATCGGTTTGCTTGTTTTGGTGGCCAGGCTCGTGGCCCTAAGGGGAGCCGCCAGGGGTGGTTGCACGGGCTCGTTCGCGGCCATTTTGTGGGGATGTCTCAGGCGGTTTGCTTGTTTCTGGGCCCAAAATCCTTCGCTTTCGGAGCAGATTTGGAGGATGTCTCGAGCGAGGCGCTAATTTTCACCCCCCAGGTGGGCCAGACTCCAGGAGGCCCCAGGAGACCACATGAGGTACCAGGAGGCATCAGGAGGCCACAGAAAGACTCAAGAGGCCACAGGATGTCCCAAGAGGCTCCAGGAGGCCCCAGGAAGCTCCAGAAGGCCTCAGGAAACCACAGGAGGCCCCAGGAGGCAACAGGAAGCGCCAGGAGGCCTCGGAAGGCAACAGGAGGCCCCGAGAGGCCCCAGGAGCAGGAGGCCTCAGAAGGCAACAGGAGTGGCTCCAATCCCATGTGTTTTACGTATGCTCCTATCGATTGGGCCTCACCTGGAGCACGATTCTTTGATGTTCTACGTATGTTTCTATAGATGGTCCTTCTCCTGTGTACACAATCCTAAATGTTTTACTCATGTTCCTATATATTGGGCCTCTCCTGGGGCACGAGTCCTTGGTGTTTTACGCGTGTTCCTATAGATTGCCCTTCTCCTGTGGCTCTAATCCGCAATGTTTTATGTACGTCTGTTGCTATAGATTGCGCCTCTCCTGGGGCACGAAACCTTCCTAGGAGGTCCCAGGAGGTCCCAAGAGGCTCCTGGAGACCCCAGGAAGCCCCAGTAGGTTTCAGGAGGCCCCAGGAGGCCCCAGGCTCATGCACAGAGACGCGCTCGTACTACTGAGGCTCATTCACACTCCAATTCATTCGCAGTTAGATTGATGTCCAGACCGTCACAACTGAAGCCCGTTAATATTCGAAAGCTCTTGCGCCTAGACATTCACGGCGGACAGGTCCATGCGAGTAGATGCACATATGGGGAGCTCCACGCAGTGAATAATTGTGGGGGGGGGGGCGTCTTTGGAGGTCTCTTCTATTCTTCGTCGAAAAGTCCCCCCTGCAGGGGGACACGCCCGACATGAGTGCAGCCCCGTGCCCCGGCCTTCGTTCCTGCACTGCTGCTTCGTTTCTGACCCTTTTGGGGCGTCTTTGGGGGTATCTTTTTTCGTCGAAGATCCCCCTGTAGTGGGATGCACAAAGACGTACTAGTACTATATGTCATCCTTGGACGCGCGCGTCCGACCCGAATATATGGTATACCCATCTTGTAGTATATCGTTTCCCGAGCGGTGTGGCCAGAATGCGCCCGCCACAACGCATATACTACAAGATTCCTCGGTGCGCGCGTCGCCTCTGGGAGGGCGACGCACATATAGTATAAGTATGTTGGGGTGTTGCCGATCCAGGGGGACACGCCCGACACAAGTGCAGCCCCGTGCCCTGGCCCTCGTTCCTGCACTGCTGCTTCGTTTCTGACCTCTTTGGGGCGTCTTTGGGGGTATCTTTTATATTTTTTGGGCTTTTAATCTGGGGACTATGTTTTGGGTTTTTTGACCCTTTGGGGGCGTCTTTGGGGGTCTCTTCTATTTTTCGTCGAAAAATCCCCCCTGCAGGGGGACACGCCCGACATGAGTGCAGCCCCGTGCCCCGGCCTTCGTTCCTGCACTGCTGCTTCGTTTCTGACCTTTTTGGGGCGTCTTTGGGGGTATCTTTTTTCGTCGAAGATCCCCCTGTAGGGGGACACGCCCGACACAAATGCAGCCCCGTGCCCCGGCCTTCGCTCCTGCACTGCTGCTTCGTTTCTGACCTCTTTGGGGCGTCTCTGGGGGTATCTTTTTTCGTCGAAGATCCCCCTGTATGTAGGGGGACACGCCCGACACAAATGCAGCCCCGTGCCCTGGCCCTCGTTCCTGCACTGCTGCCTCGTTTCTGACCCTTTTGGGGCGTCTTTGGGGGTATCTTTTTTCGTCGAAGATCCTCCTGTAGGGGGACACGCAAGACACAAATGCAGCCAAAAGTCATCAAGAAATACGCCAAAAGTCATCAAGAAATAATCCAAACATAATCTGGGGACTATGTTTTGGTTTTTTTGACCCTTTTGGGGGCATCTTTGGGGGTATCTTTGATTTTTCCTTGAAAAATCCCCCCTGCAGGGGGACACGCCCGACATGAGTGCAGCCCCGTGCCCCGGTTTTCGTTCCTGCACTGCTGCTTCGAATCTGACCTTTTTGGGGCGTCTTTGGGGGTATCTTTTTTCGTCGAAGATCCCCCTGTAGGGGGACACGCCCGACACAAATGCAGCCCCGTGCCCCGGCCTTCGCTCCTGCACTGCTGCTTCGTTTCTGACCTCTTTGGGGCGTCTTTGGGGGTATCTTTTTTCTTCGTCGAAGATCCCCCTGTACGGCAGGTTCGTGTCGTGCCGACCCCAGCGTTGGTTTTTGACACCGCAGGGATCGTTCAACCTTGAACGATCGGCCGCTGCCGCAACGTCCGATCGTTCCACATCGATCGATTCTGGGTCGCCGGCGGCGTTCAACCTTGAACGCCCGCGCTGGGGTCGCCGCTGGTCGACACGACGCAAACCTACTGCACGGGGACACGCCCGACACAAATGCAGCCCCGTGCCCCAGCCTTCGTTCCTGCACTGCTGCTTCGTTTCTGACCCTTTTGGGGCGTCTTTGGGGGTATCTTTTTTCGTCGAAGATCCCCCTGTAGGGGGCCTGTCCCCCTACAGGGGGATTTTCGACGAAAAATAAAAAATGCGCCAAAAGTCATCATGAAATAATCCAAACATAATCTGGGGACTATGTTTTAGTTTTGTTGACCCTTTGGGGGCGTCTTTGGGGGTCTCTTCTATTTTTCGTAGAAAAATCCCCCCTGCAGGGGGACACGCCCCACATGAGTGCAGCCCCGTGCCCCGGCCTTCGTTCCTGCACTGCTGCCTCGTTTCTGACCTTTTTGGGGCGTCTTTGGGGGTATCTTTTTTCGTCGAAGATCCCCCCAGGGGAGCCCATAATCGAATCGATAAGTCGGATCGGCGATCGAAACGAATCGGATCGGCGGAAATCGGCAGCCAAGTCGGGAAAAGTCGAATCGGCGGAAATCGGCAGGCTAGTGCGCCGCCAATCAGAAATCGGACCCCAAATCGGAAGCCCAAGTCGAATCGAATCGGAATCGGAAGCCATCGATGCCGAATCGAATCGAATCGGAAGAATCGAAACGAGCCCTGTATGTAGGGGGACACGCCCGACACAAATGCAGCCCCGTGCCCCGGCCCTCGTTCCTGCAGCTGCCTGCTTCGGCGTCACGGTCCCGGCGCGCGGAGCCCTTTCGTCGTCCTGCGCATTTTTGGGCACGGCGACGGGGCGCCGGTCGCGCCCTCGGGCGCCTGCTGCGTCGGCTGCGCCCCAGGAGAGCCCAGAATCGAATCGATAAGTCGGATCGGCGATCGAAATTCGTCGGATCGGCGGAAATCGGCAGCCAAGTCGAAAGGAATCGAATCGGCTGAAATCGGCAGGCTTGTATGCATCCAGTGCGAAATCGGAACCCATATCGGAATCCCAAGTCGAATCGAATCGGAATCGGAATCCATCGAAATCGAATCGAATCGGGGCAATCGAAATGAGCCCTGGCGCCCTGGCTGAGATTCCAAAGCGGGTCCAACCTGACTCCTTGCCATCGCTCGGACGTCCATTCCCCATGCTTTTCTCGGTTTCGTGCGTGGTTTTTTTTTCGCCACATGATCAAGGATGCTCCTCGATTGTCCTCGCGAGCGATGCCAAGACTACCTACCAGACCAGTCCAACCCGACCCGAAGACCCGAACTTCGGGTCGGGAGGGTAAGGGCTCCACATGTGTTTTTTCGATGCTTCCCGACCTCCCCCCCCCACTGGAAATCGAGGGTAAAGCTGAGCCTTCGGGTTGGGTTGGGGTGGCTTGGTGGGTGGTGGCAGCCGGGGCGACAGAGGCCGCCCGCGAGACCCCAGGAAGGCAAAGGCGAGGCAAGGGCAGCGGAATCGGTACATGTTCTTCCGTGGAGGGGAGGGACCTGGCCATGGGATATCTCGATCTTCTCGACTCGGGGTCCCTAGAAATCTCGACCCCTTCTTCAGGGGCCAATACTACATGCCGTGTTTTTTTTCGGTCCCGGGGCCCGGCGAAGGCCGCTGGAGGCCGAACATGCTCAAAATCCGTCGGTCGTGATCTGTTCCACGACGCGAGCATCTCCGTGGAGGGAGGGAGGGAGAGGAGAGGACGGAGAGAGGAGCAGGGAGGCTGCGCCGCTGGTCGGTCCTGCTGGCGCCGTCGACGCCCATGCCGAGCCGCCGCCCGCATGCCTCGGGCGCGAGCGCGCGCCCGCGCCGCCTCCACCGAGTGAGAACGATCCAGGATCAGACCAGTCAATGCGGTTTCGGCTCGCTCTCTGAGGAAGTCTTTGGCGACCTGGGCCGCCGAGGTCCCAAAACGTGCAATCATATTGACGAATAGTTTCTGAAGAAGTGGGCCGAACGCAATAACCTCCAATATTGCGGCCAGGGGGTGGAAGGAATAATTGGGTTCTTTATTGATCGGGCGTTGCTGTTGCAAAATATTTTCCTTCAATCGTATCAGAAATCTCTTGAGGTCTCCTCAGGACTGGAAAATCCGGTTGCAACACCGGTATGAATGACACGCCGCCGCATAGAATCCATCAACGCGTTACCGCGGAAAGAACACCAGACTTCTGGACAAACACAGAGGAGTCACACGCCGACTGTCTACCAACGGCAGCGTGTCATTGATACCCTAGTTCCCGCCCGACAGGGGCCTTGCGTGGGAGGCGGCGCCGACCGCGGCGGCAACAACGACGACGACGACGGCGACGACGACGGCGACGACGACGACGACAACGACGGCGGCGACGACGACGACGACGGCGGCCGAACGCGTTGGGCGCCCGAATTATCCGGGGTAACTCGGGTCCGGGGTAACTCGGGCTCGGATTCCGAAAAAAGAACCCGAGTTAGCCCTGACCCGAGTTACCCCTGATGATGTGGGGCTCTGGACGCCCGAATTATCCGGGGCAACTCGGGCCCGGGGTAACTCGGGCTCGGACTCCCGAAAAAACGAACCCGAGTCAACCCTGACCCGAGTTACCCCTGATGATTCCGGGGCTCTGAACGCGCCTGTGCCCGCTCGGCCAGGGAAGCCACGGCCGCCGTGGTCTCGTCCGCCCCGTGCGGCCGCCGGGCGGCCGGGCCTTCGGGGCGCTGCGCTGCGGCTCGGCCGTCGCTGCCGCCGGTCGGTTGCCGTCGCCGCCGCCGCCGCCGCCGCCGCCGGCCGTGCCATTCGGCGGCGCCGAGGTCGTCGACGACGAGTCGAGGCCGTCGTCGACGTCGTCGAGGCTCGGGGACCGCCGCCGTCGCCGTCGGGGCCGCCGGCCTCGAGATCGCCGTCGTCACAGCCGCCGTCGTCGTCGAGGTCTGCTCTGGGCTGGGGGATCGTCGCAGTCGTCGTAGTCGTCGTGGTGGTCGTGGTCGTGGTCGTGGTCGTGGTCGTCGTCGTGGTCGTCGTCGTGGTCGGAATCGAAGGGCGGCACCGTGGTGCCGTGGTCGTCGTCGGCGGCGCCTCGAGGCTCGAGGGCCGCTTCTCGGAGCTGTGCCGGGGGCGCTTCCAGGAGAGTGACCCCCCCCCCTTGGGGAAGGGATCAAAGGGAAGGGGCTTCCCTTCGACTCGATTACGACACTGCTAGATTTTTCTCTCGCTCACGAGCTTGAGAAGGAAGCTGAAGGGAAAGGGGACGACGGAGGCGACGACCGACGGAGAGGACGACTCGAACAGCCAAGCCCCTCGCACACGGGGTCAGAACTTTAGATGCTCGCTTTGAGAACCTTCCTGGAGCCACTCGCTCCACTCATGCGTCGATGCTGCGTCGAACGTCAGTCCATTTGAATCGAACTCGAGTCGAGCTAGAGTCCAACATTAGTCGAGCTATATTCGAACTAGGGTCAAACAGATGTGCTAGGTGACCCCAGTCTAGGAACTATTGGATAGCAAGGATGGGGAGGCAACAGGGACGATCATATGGGAGAACACGGTCCTATTGCTTTTGTGCTGTTTCCCGCGCTTACGGTCAACATCATGTTGCCCTGGTGAGTTGTTCCCCGCGGTTGCGGCCAAGATTGTCTTGCGCGGGAGATATGCATTCCCATTGTTTTTTCTCGACAAAATCATAGAGAGAACGCGTCTCTGACCCGCAGGCGGACACAATCGCGGGGTCGTCGACATCGCCGTCCACGTCGCCGCCGCCGTCAGCGTCGCCGCCGCCGTCGGGTGAGGGATGACCGTAAGCAACGGAAAAACACGGACCTCAGGAGAGAGAACACAGGACCTCAACTTACGCGGTGGCTCGCGCGGGACGCCCACTCGGGACGCCACATCGGAAACGAGGGCGCGTGCGCGCGACCCTGCGCGGCCAGCTTGCGGGCCAATGCCCGTGCAGACGACCCCTTTGTTCTGCGGCGCCCACGTGGGGACATCACGATCGTGGTGCGACAAGGAAATTCGATGGCCCAAACCCAATGTGTGTTAAAAGTCAATCCGCATGTCGAACAGCGGTGGGCAGGCTGCTCTTGCGGCTGAAAGTATACACTCTAGCAGCTACTGGAGGAGGGGGAGGAGGAGGAAGGAGGAAGAGGATGCGAAGGAAGGATGACGGGAGAGGAACAGGATAGTACACCCCCCCCCATCCCAAATCCCCTCCTCACGAGTCCGTACAGACGCCTTACCCTGAATGACGAGCGGCTGGTCAGTCCGCCAGTTAAACGAGTGCACTTGTCGTAGAGGATCCTCCCTCCACTTGAAGGACGCCCATTGTAACCTTATTTTGAACACCAAATGCCTTCTGTCCGTCTACGCGCTGCAGCATGACAAAGTCGTGGACGCATGCTCCGCGGAAATCCTACGCAAGAGCGCTTTCAATGGGAGGCTACGGATGGCCTCATTGTGAAAACGACGTTGCCGGATGGCAGACTCGTGGACGCATGGTTCGCTAAAATATTACGAAGAAACCCCGTTTCAAAAAAGGAACCGCCCTCCATCCGTGTTAGTTGTTGCACAATCTGGCATCCAGGTGGCAGATGCCGAAGGAAAGGCCAAGTGTGTAAATGGTGGACCCTGTATCCGAACGTGCGCGAGGCCAAGGGGCGGCCAAATGGGAGGCTGCAGACCCTGGAAGGCTCCTTCTATGTTGAAAGCGGCGGTGGTATCCATATCCGATCCACAGCTGGAACCCCTCCGGCATCCAGACCGAGACCGTGCGGTGACGCGGTGACCCCGAGTCCCACTCACTCACCATGCGGTGTGGCCACCGCGCCGTGTGGGGGCCCCCGACGGTGGTGCTGAAGTTGTCCAGTGCTATGCCCCCCATCCTCCTCCTCCTCCTCCTCCTCCTCCTCCTCCTCCTCCGCCTCCTCCTCCTCCTCCTCCCCTGTACTTGTGCACCCGAGGGCTTTTTTGTCCCACGCCCCAGCCGTCCCGGAGAAGGACTCGCACGCCACTCGCGCAGCGAAGGACACACGGGAAGCCGAGTGCGCGCGACGCCCAGGCGAAGAGAGCCCCTTCTTGAGAACGGCCCGCGCTGCCTCCGCTCCTTGACTGGTGAAACCGCCTGTGTGGTCCACGCGCCGGCGCGATCTGCCTTCGCCTGCTCCCGGTGGCCTCCTGCGGCGACGAGGACGACGAAGACAGAGATGAGCACTTTCGTGCTGCCAGGACCTCCTCCTCCTCCTCCTCCTCCTCCTCCTCCTCCTCCTCCTCCTCCGCGAGCCTGGGAGCGCTGGGGGATGGATTGTAGCGTCTGGGAGTGCCTGGGGGCGTCTGGGAGCGCCTGGGGCAGCCAGGGGAGCGATGGGGTCCCAAATCGGAGTCGGCGACGGGTGCCCGAGACGTATCGGTGAATTTTGTGCATGCTACCGACTTATTGTTTTTGCTTCTGCCTCGTGTGCCCAGGGGCACTTTGGGGCCAGGGGGTGGCTTGATGTTGAAGATCAACAGATGGGCACCGAGTTCTTTTTTCCCTGGATGGTGAGGGTTGGGTCAGATGAGTGTTCACCGAGATGCGCATTTTGCATCGGATGGTGAGGGTTGGGTCGTGTGAGCGCGCACAAAATATCACATCGGATGATGAAAGTTGGGTCGTATGGCTCTACACCGATCTGCATAGGATGGCGATGGTCGGACGGATGGGTGTGCACCGGATACAACTATTTACATAGGGTGGATACGCAGCCGAATCGTAGTTTTGACATGGGATGGTGAATGTCTGGTCGGAAGGGTGTGAGCATACTTGTATATTTTGAGTCGAATGGTGAGGGTTGGGTCGGATGGATGTGCGCCGGATGATATTTGTTGCATCACATCATCATGGATGGGCCGTGTGGATATGCTCGGCGCTACAGCGATATATTTCCTTAAGCATAACTCCTCCTGTCGCACCAGCGGACGTGTGCGTAGGCCAGCCCCGCGTTTCGCTTCAGACTTCTTCAAACTTACAACAGTTTCAAGGATGGAGCCCGCAACTTATCGAAATGTGGCACTCGCCTGATCGTCGCGCGCATTCGTCTTTGACACTTCAGACAACTTCAAAGATGGAGGTGGGTTCGTTTTCAAAATGTGGCTAACGCCTTACCGCCGCGCACTTTCGTCTGAAGGGTTTGCAACAGTTTCAATGGTGGAGGCCGGCTCCGATTCAAAATGGAATTGACTGATGGGCAGGGGGGTGATGCGGTGGAGACAGGGAGGATGGGGAGAATATGGGGATAATAAAACTGGATGAGAAGCGGCAGGTGCAAGGCGCCGATAATCGATTACGATACGGAGGAAGACACGATAAAAAAGGGGGCCTTCTCCCGCATCTCCTCCCCCCTCCTCATCGTCCTCATCCTCCCGTCTCCACCTCTCTCGTTTTCTACTCCTCGCCCTCTCTTTCTCGCCCTCGTTCTCCTCTTGCCTCCTCCTTTACCAATGTTTCGTCTCTCTTCGCTTCCTCTCTCCCAGCCCCAGCCCCGACCCCTCACCTGTAGTCCCTTTTCCACCCCTCACCTCCCCACCGTGGCTTAAGCGTCCTTCTACTCTCCATCGGCTCGTTCCCCCTCTCCTCATACTATTCCTCTTCATCTTCTCCATCCCATCCTCATCCACTTATTACTACCACTTCTTCTCCATCCTGCCTTTCCGTCGCCTCACCTTCTTTCTCCTCCTCGCCCTCCTAATCCTTAGGAGGCCAACGCGCATACACCAATACCGCTTGCCAGAAAATCGTCGAAGCAAAGATCCACTGGGCGCTCCCCTCACGCGTCATCGCAGAAGCTCCGTTACCTCTTTGTTAGACGCGCGAAATCGGCGCATGCGCGAGGCCATCCTGTCGCCCCCTATACGACCTACCACACCGAGAAAACGGCCGCGGAAATTCGACGCGATAACTTCCTGTGCCCTCTTGGGCGCGTCTTGGAACCCCAACGAGGCACCCTAGCGGGCCCCCAACTGAGCCCCGCGAGGCACCCTAGCGGAGCCCCAACGAGCCCCAATGAGCCCCGCGAGAGCCACAGCAGGTTTCCAAAAGGGGTCCCGATGAGCCCCTGGTCCAACTCGACAGCGTGAACTTCGAAACGATAACTTCAAATGCCCCTGTGGGGGCCGTTCGGAACATCCAAGACGGCCCCAGAAAGCTTCCGGAGGGCCCCATGACAGCTACAAGAGGGCTCCGAGAGGGGCCCCGGCGATCCTCTGGCTCACGACACGGCGTCGAGTTCGAAGCGATACTCCAGATTTCGTGATGAAAGGGAGGGGGTCTGGACCCTCCAAGAAAAGCCATTTCAGACCTCCCCCGTGGGAGAACCCTCCAAAACATCGTCCCCAGACCCCCCAGGGCCTCCAAGATAGCCTGGAAGAGACCTCCCCCCGAAATGAGACCCCCCCCCTTATTACGAAATCTGGAGTACCCTACTCAACTTGTTGCACTCCCCCTTCTTCTTCTTACTGCAGTCAGGATGAATTGCTTGGCGTGCCGCGCCGCCGATTCTGGTCCACCGCCACGCTTCGGCGCGACTCGCGGCAACCTTCCCGATCCTACGACGTCAACGTCCAGGGCCTCTCCTGGCCGGCCGTTCCACGAAGCAGAGCGGCACGCGATCAACTTGCAGGGCATGACGCGTCGCAGGAGCCGCAGCCGCGACACGCCAAGCAACACTTCCTGACCGCATCGTTCGTATCGTGCGTCTTCCCCCATCTGCCTGCTCCACTCCGTGCCGCCTCCCGTGCGGCGCCTCGCTCCGTCGCCTGAGCAGGCACCATGGCAGAGCATGCCGCTGCTGGCAGACTGGATGGCTTGCCCGCGCCCGCGCGCCCAGGAGCGCTCTCGAGCCCACAGACCGACCGGCAGCCGCGCGATGCGTCGTCGTCGTCGTCAACGCCGTCGTCGTCGTCGCCGTCGTCGTCGTCGTCGTCGTCGTCGTCGTCGTCGTCGTCGTCGTGGTCGTTGTCGAGGGGGGGTGGGCGGTGGGCGAGGAGGAGGCGTGAAAGATGAAAGGGGGGCCTCCTCCCCCTTCCATGGGTGAACAGCACCAGTATCGATGACACGCCGCAGCGGGGAGCCGCTCAGCGCTTCACGGTTCAAGAGGCCCCGGGTCTTCGAACAAGAACGAAGGAGTAGCACACTGACGGGCTCCCACGGCGACGTGCCATTGATACCATCTTTCCCTCTCGTCGGCGGTGGACAAACCTCCCTTTAGTAAACCTCCTCTTAGTGAAACGGCTTGGGGCCGAAACCGACGGACCTGGACCCGCAAAAGTGACGGCCGCGACGCCCTCTCGCAAACCGAAAACGGCCAATTCACTAATCGACGTGTCAGGGTAGGAGGTCTATCCACCTCCGATCTCGATCTCACGTTCTCATCTTGGTCCTCCCTGTTCGGCCTCCTCCACCCTTCCCTCTCGCGAGGCCCAGCTCGGGTGGCTGACGGCCGGGCTGCTCACCTCTGCTGCGACGGCCTTCACTCTCCCTGCCCCGCTTTCCTCCACATCTCCCCAAACAGGGCAGCAAGACACCGTGTCCCTGAGAGAAGCCATGCTAAGATGATCGTGGCTGCCCGTTGCAAAATCTGGCTTCTTTCGAACGACGGTTTCGATGCATCAAACTGCGGCCGAGCACGCACCAGCCAGCGCAATCACCGCCGCTCGTCTGCACCAGGAGGTTGGCTTTCGCATGCTCTTCGGCAGACAGGAGTGTCTGCAACTTGAAACCAGGTCTACTCGGAAGCTGAGCGAGGGCTGGCAAATCCGTGGCTGCTAAAACGGTCTTCCCGGAAAAAACAAACAAATCCCCAGAACAAAACTCAACGCACAAAATAATAAATTGGCTGCTCCCCGGAAGAAAAGAAACACGTTCCCGCAGAGCCGTTTTAGCAGCCACGGGTTTGCCAGCCTTCGCCTGGCTTCTGATTTACACTGGTCGATAGGAGAGCTGGTCAGGTAATCTGCGAGGCCAGTCCATGCCAGCCACTGCTAACACATCCTGGCATTCTACAGCGCGACAGGATCACAGGGATGCGCGGTAGGGATGTAATGATTGTGCACGCCCAAGAGGAAGCCTTCTGAGCGAGGGCGACCAGCGACCATGGCCAAGGGCGGAGGCCGCATGTGCGAGGACGGAGCGGTGCCCCTCCTCCTCCTGCTCCTCCTGCTCCTCCTGCTCCTCCTCCTGCTCCTCCTCCTCCTCCTCCTCCTCCTCCTCACGGTCCTGTTTGGCTGCAGGTCCCTCCTCCCTCCCCGCATTCCCTCCGCTCTCGGCGCCCGCGCGCGCGCGGGGGGGCGCGTCCGCGCCAACTGTGCACCTGCATCGACCCTGGCCAAGCCCACCCTGGGCCTGGGTGAAGGGGCCCCAGGTCACACAACAAAATACACACAAATAAAGATATCCCCCATAGTTTCCCATATTTTCTGGGTTCTTGTCTTCCCCCCCCACTTCCCACATTTTCCTATCTGTTCTGGAGAATCGACGATTAATTGTGTCTGTGTTTTTTTCCCTCCTGACTGGGACCAATGCGTGCACGCCCCCTGGATTGGCCTCGAGGGCATCGACACTGAGGTCCCGGACCCGGGGCCCAGCACTGGCGTGCTTAAGAGCATGGTCGGCGCTTCCCGAGGGGGGGACGGGGAGAGGAAGACTTCATCCCGATTTCCAAGCAGCCCGAAGACCGAGCTCGAGCGAAATATGGAGAGGAAAACATCGCGACACTGTCAAGCTAAGAGGATGACAGGGGAGAACAGAGGTGAGTTATGCTGGGAACTCTTGGAGGTTTCAGGCAAGCCTGGTTGGTGTCCGGTGGAGCCGCAAAAATTCTTCAGGGCTTTGGGAGGGGCCCGGAAGCCCCGAGGGCTGAAAGCCTGATCGTTCGACCCCAAATGAGAACGATTCCTACAAATTCTGAAGTCTTTCCCTCCGCTTTGTAAGACGGCGGAGGGAAAGGAGGGGGGGAAGAAGGGGAAAGAGGAGGAGGAGGAGGAGGAAGAGGGAGGGAGGAAGAGCACGAGAAATCAGAGGATCAGCAGGAGGTATCGCAGCATTAAGGAGAGTGGGGGACCAGGGAGGAAGGAGGTGATGAGTGGGAGGAAGGATGAGGAACAACATGAGGGAGCTGCGGACGCCATTGGTTGACGAACGCCACTGGGTGTTGTAAGTGGACGACCGGTGACGAGATAAGACATGTAAGGGCTAGCGGCCGAGAGTTGCCCCTGGTCTGCTTCAATGAGAGGGGGCGAGATGCAAGGCACCCCAGAAAACAGCTGCGACGACGTGTTGGATGCTTGCCACGCGTACGGAACATGCCCACTCTCACACACCGGAGGAGGAGCACCGAACACGACGACCGACTCTTGCGCACGATGCTACTGGTAAGGCTTCGGGCTGCGCGCAGACAGCCCCCCGCAGGTGGTCCCGGCTGGCCCAGGCAGGCACCCCGAACACTGTCCCAGCTGGCCTCGGGGGAGGGGGAGGGG